TGGAAGTTCTCCAGCGGCCCCTTTGGTTTGTTCATTATTCCACTGAATGTATTATTTTCACATATTTGTGAGTTTTCCAGGTTCCATTCTGGGCTCTTTGGCTTCCTGGTCAGTTGTCTGGTTTCTGGACTCTCTATATAGTCAGTGTCCTTTATCAAAGCCCTGCTCTCATGGTCACCTTCCTTAGGGAGCCTTATTAGAGAAAACAGAGGGATGTTCTATATCATGCCATTCCTAAGACCAGAATCTTCTCCTTCATATATGAATGGGGAGAAAAGTTAACATTCTCAGAATCACTTAGCACCTAACCCAGACCACTGTTTACCCACACTTCCAGTCCTAGACTGTGAGGAACTACAGAAAGTTTGCTCATTTACAAACTCACAGTTTTAAGAGATCAACACACAGTCATTATTTCTGAGCAGGTATAAAATGTCACTTCAACAAATTTACTTTTTATGTGTAAAATGAATAAACAGAAGTATAAATCAGGGATTTGTTAATGGTTCTTTTGAGCACCTACAGATGCTAGGCAAAAATTTATTTTTAGTTATAATATACCTGGAATGTATGTATATACTTAGAGTACTAACCCATTTTTCTGGTTGTCATATTTTAGACAACATGAACATTTTGGAATACATCTGTGATCTCAAAAAATGATTTATAAGATAGTTTCAGGTCTTTCTACCCAACATTTATGTTTTCTCCTTTTTTAATCTAGGAAATTCCATTTATCTTTTAATCCTGAGTTTAAATGCAATGCCTCCTTACCCACCCCCATCTCTGGGCTCTGTAGCAGTCAGCCTACACTGAACCATGCTTATTTGCTCTGTGTACATCTCTAGTCCAAGTTTATGGCCCATGTGAGGTCAACAGACTCCTGGGCAGGGTTCCCTTCATACTTTCTAGTTCTCAGCCCCTCCATCCACTGGAAGTTCCACTAGCTGGCTTGAGAGATCTTAGGATTTGGTGATGTAGACATCTGGTGTATCTCCACCTATGACAACTTGGTCTGTAATTGGCTTTGTGGCCCTGCCTAGAAGCCCATTCCTTCTGGACTTGAGGCTGTCCTTAGTGTTCTCAATTCAGGCTAGTACATGGCTGACAGTAGATAACTATGTGCTAACTGAATGCAGGTCTACCCATGTCACTGCATCAGAGGGACCTTAGCGTCTGTCTACCTCTTCAGACAAGGCTGTTGGCTCTTACAAGTACTGCTTGGGGATCTGACTTCATTTGATACATTTTCATTTTGCTAGGGTCACCCTTGGGAGTGCCAGCACCAAAGGCATATGGTAGAACTATTTGGACAGCACATGGGGGAGGTCCCCGACAAGAACAATGAGTGATCACAAGAAGAGAGGCAATGTCAAGGGAGAACACAGGAGAAGCACCCATCAAGGAGCACAGAGGAGCCTGGAGGCACGTGATACTATGATTTCAAGAGGCCCAAGAACACCACTGAGTGTCGAGGCCAAACACATAGTCACATTCAGTGATAGCACACAGTCAGCTCCATTACTTTCTCAGCTCTAGAGGACACTGATATATCCAAGCTCAGTTCAGTATCACATTCCAAACAGACTAGAATCTTAGAGAAAATGGTAAGCAGGCTGCCAAGAATATACATTTCTTTTAAAAAATACAAATTTCTCACAGATAGCACAGCCAGCAGTAACATTTCTGTTATCTAGACAATGAAGCCTTGTATTCCCGAGGGTACTAGGTACTCAAGGCACCAGGTACAGATAAACAGACATCATTTACAATGAGAGGCAACCAGGGGCCTGGGGTATTAAGAGGTTCTCTTGAGACTTATAGCCTTGGCTAGTTGGGTCCAAGTTACTCAAAGTAGACCGGATTCTCCAGAATTCTGATGAGAGTTCAGTAATCAGTCTGCCTTGGCTACCCTTCCAGTTGCTGGTCCAAGCTTCATCTTTGTGATTCTTATGCTTCTGTTTAGTTCTGGTGTTCTTTGCTTGGATGTCTGGTGGCTAACTCTGGCTCTGCCCTACAGTTCCATCCTTGACTCTCAGATCGGCTCTAACATTCACATCTGACCACTTTGGAGCTAACTGGCCTCTGTCCATCTGGGTGTTGATTAACCACTGTCCAATTTCTGCTATGCTAAGGTCAAGGTCAAGCTGAAGCCAGTAACATAATATGCCACACTAGGATTTGCTACTGGTATGTTGTATATGACTAAATGTGCCTGAATTAGGATCCCTTCGGGAAGTAATTCAATTATGTGTATTCCTCTAAGTCTGTATGGAGGTATGTGCACATGAATGCTGGTTCCCCCTTAGGCCAGAGGCACGGGCCCTCCTGAAGCTGAAATTACAGGCACTTACGAGCCACCCAAAGTGGAAGCTGAAACTGAACTCGAGTCCTCTCCAAGACTAATACACTATTGAGTCACTGACCTATCTCTCCAGCCCCTGGTGGTACTTTTTGACCTGACTTTTCTGTAACAGGAAGCAGCACACACTAGCATCGGGTCCTCAAACCCAAGGAGTAAAAGGCATCAATTCTTGACTGGTTATATTCACTCACAGAAACCCTGAAAATCAGGAGCAGATGAAGTTGGAGGAGAGTTCACAATCTTGTGGGATGGAAATGAAGAGAAGCTGTCTACATTGACCATGAGTGCACAGTACCCGAGAAGCTAGGGCATCGGAAGCATCACCACTGAGACATCCAATGACCCGGGCCCAGGACTCTGCTGTTTGTTTGAGACTGGTCTCACTATAATAATAGCCCAGGCTGGCTTTAAACTCACAATCCTCCTGTCTCAGCTTCCTGAGTGCTGGGATATAGGCATGTGCTTGGATTCTGCATTTTTAATGAGTCTTAGCTCTTCCAACGCAGTGAGTCTTTGGGTCACTATATGAGGAATACCCAGTGCAGAGCAGCAATTAACACACACAGGGACAGTGAACACAAAACATGACCCATGCTTTCTCTGATGCCTTGATGTACCTTGCATAAGGCAGTTCATATGGCTGCTCCTTTCCTAATGACCTTACTGGATTTGAGATTTGACAGCCTCACTCTTACTGCTGTTGGTGAAGGATCTCAGGTTTAAGATCAACTTGGTTTAGTGAAGACAGTGTTAGCTTCCCAAGTTTCTAGAAAGAAGGCGTTTTAACAAGGTTTTGGAGTAAACAGAGATACTAGGTTCTGTTTGTCTTTTGTCTGAGGGAGAAAGGCTACAAAGAAGAGCATGAAATTTCAGCAAGATACTATTGTCCTTCAGTGTTACCCTATAATCTTTTCAAGTTTTATGATTTTGCCGAAATTAAACAAGTAAAATATTTTAAATGCATAACAACCATCATGTCTTGAAATAAGGAATAGAAACATCTATTTTATCCATAAAATCTTCAAATTAGCTCCCTGGCAACACATGTGTCATCGGTGAGGAAGACACATACCCGAATGCCCATGTACTTTGGATGCCCAGGAGCCAGGTACACCAAGAGTGGTGGAGCCCAGAAAACGGTGCAGGCTGTGCATTTGACTGGTGAGGCCAAGTTTCCCTGGGCACTTCCCCAAGCAAAACTGGAGGGAGATCTCAGGACAATGGCTTAATCAGGAGGATTCTGATGGGACAGGATGCTTTTGGAAACTAAGATGACAGAGATATTGATGAGCTATGAGGTCCAGGAGGCCTGTCTGATGTTTGAGATAATGGAGTCTCCATTTGTTTCAGGACGATGCCTTCATTTTCGCACCGACGTGTTTTATGGCTTGCAGGGGATGTATGGACTGGCGGATGGAGACATTAAGGAGTTGAGAGTCCCACTCTCACTGATGCTGTGATGTGGGTGTGCTTATTCTTTTCCTAGGAGGATCTTTATTTTTTTCTCCCAAATCTCATAACTGGTTATGCAGATGTTTAATTGAGAAGAATAGCTATGAAATTACTGCTTGTTTTTTTTCTTTCAAACTTTCCTATCTGGACCACTTATTGTCTCTCTTCTCTATTTACAAATGCTCTAAACATTATAAAATTAAAGTTTAATTAGTTTTTAAAACTAAACTTTGCTAGGAGGCTAGGGTTTTTTTCTTTTTTCTTTCGATTTTTTGAGACAGGGTTTCTCTGTGTAGTTTTGGTGCCTGTCCTGGATCTTGCACTGTAGACCAGGCTGGCCTCGATCTCACAGAGCTCCGCCTGGCTCTGCCTCCTGAGTGCTGGGATTAAAGGTGTGAGCCACCCCAGCCCGGCCCAAGGCTAGGATTTTTAAAAAGGTTATTGTGTCTCAATTGAGAGCCTGGTGTACTATAAGAAGGCTAATATCAAGAAGAGCTGAAATTCAGAAAAAGAAGTAGAATCAAGTTAGCTGAGTGAGGTAGATGAGCTCCATGGAGGCAGTGGGACACAGAAGTGCAGAGGGAGCATGCTCAAGCCAAGAGAAGTTAGGAAGAGAGAAGACTCCTTCCTGGAATACTAGAAGACTCAAGAAGTTAGGGGCAGATAGAATCTCCAGAAAACGCCTCATGAGGTAATTAAGGCTGAACTATTGACCAGAGCTTTGAACAAACCCTCTCCCATTTTAACCATGGTTTGCTTTTATGGATAAAACCAAAAAGGCATAATTTATCCAGCCCATGTTACTATTCACTCAACTCTGACCCTTCTCTATGGAATGCCTTTCAATGTCTCTTATAGAAGAAGTGACACCACTTTAATTTCCAGCTCCATCCCCATCTGGCCAGGAAGAGGATCAATTAATATTATCATGTTTTGTCTTCAGGGCTTCTGACATCCCCGAGGACCAGCCTGTGGGACAGTGTGTCATCACAACGCTTCTCAGCCCAGACGGGGAGAGAGCAGGATTCAGGACAAGGCCAGCTCATGTAACACAGCTCAGAGCATACCACACAACTTGCTTCGAGGATGTTGGGCATTGTGCTTCATTAGGAAACAAAATATAAGCTTTCCACACCATTAGGGATGACTTTAGGAGTGGAAAGCACATAAGACGATGCCTCACCTCATCAACAATGCACTGTAGAAGCTGGAGAGGCTGTGACGGGAAGAAGAGAGGGAAAAAGTATTAGCCTGTGTGCAATGTCTTTACAGTGGAGTGGAAAGAAAAAAATCATTAATGCAATAAAATATAGCAAGATTAATCAACAACAGCAAACTCTTATAAAAACATGGATGCTCAGGACGTCCTATTATTTCTAATGGTACCTAATCTAATACAGGCAGTTAAAGGTTTGCATTTTCTTCAAAATGCAATTTGCTAAGTTTAAAACAAGGCATTCAAGCATGCAAAGGAAGCAGCCATCAGGAAAAAGAAAAGTGAATTTTTTTTCTGAACTCATAAAGCTTACCATTAAAGATCCCTGGTTTTTCTGAATCTGAAAAAAGGCAATATGTAATTAGCATGTCATAATCAAAATGACTCACTTGGACACATTATGATCACTGAGAGAAAATTATTGCATTGCTGGTGGCAATTTGTGGGCATGTGTTAACACAATTTACATAATGAAAATACACAAATGTTAATAGCTCGCTTCTCATTTATAGGCGAAAGTCAGCAGAATGTTAATTTCACACAACACTTTTTAGTACCCTCCAGGTTGTATTAGAATAGGGAGAAAAACCATAATCCATTTCAAAAGGCTGTTTACGATTCAGATATAAATAATGTTTTATATTGCTAGATTGTGAACACTGGGCTTAATGTTGCAATCATTGCTAATGTTATGAAGCTCACTCTTTTTAAATTAAAAACCGATTTATTTAAAATTGAAATTAAATCATAGTCAGAAATTAGAATTTTGGATTCCTGCCAGTGTCTGCTCACAATCCCCTATTTTGTGAAGAAAACTTTAATTATGTGGTTGAAGTGTTTGCCTGGAACTAAGGAGTGGGGTGAAAACTCTACCCTTTTCAAAGTTCTTTTGGACTGCTTCTCGAGCAGCAAGGCTCTCTGGGAAAAATCAAATGCATGAGGTTTTACAATGCTTTGCTAGGGTGCCTGCTCCGACTCCGCGTTCTGCGGGCAAGCTGCTCACATCTAACACAGACAGTTAACCAAATGTGACAAGATCAATCAACTTCAACTTACTACTCAAGACATTAAACACACCACTGTCCCCCCAGACACCTGCAGTTAATGGACCCAAACCCAACGGAAACTGAGTCCTAGGTCCTGCGTTTTGTAAACAGAAAAATTTTAGGGAGTAAATGCTACCAGGACAGGTCAGTTGTTGTCTGGGATCCATGAGCTCCAACCAGCTGGTTAGATGGGAAAGAGTAACATTCCATGTTTTCCTGTAGTGCTGGGAATCAACCAGGGGCCTCAGACACGATGGGCAGATGTTCCACTGAGCTGCATTCCAGGACCCTTCATGTGTTTTTAGTGGCACTGTGTGTGTGCTGTATGCATGTGTGTATGTGTGTGAGGCCAGAGGCTGATGTCGGGAGTCTTCTTGATCACTCTCCACCTTATTTTTTGAGACAGGGTCTCTCACTGAACCTGGAGCTCCCATGCTAGTTAAACTGCTTGGCCATCAAGACCCTGGGAGGCATCTGTCTCTGCCCTACCAGCACTAAGATTATAGGTGCAGGCCACAGCACATGGCTTTTACAGGGGTGCTGGGAAACCAGGCCTCCCGGAAATGGTGCAGGTTCGGGTTGCAGGCCCAGGTCTGGTGGTGCCAAGCCTTTTCAATGTTCCTTCACCTGGAGAATACCTGCCTATGACCACAGCATTCCTTAAACCAACTGGACAGCATGTTTTCACTTGCATGGTATGGCTGTCAAGGGTGGATGCTGGGTGTATGACTTCCTCTTGCATCCGTGTGGCTGACCAGCAGTCCTTCCCCTCCCCCAAGTCCTGCTATGGAGCCCAGGCTGGCCTAGAACTCATATCCTCCTGCTGGGGTTACCGGTATTGTAGACAGTAGTTCCCGTGCTCTGTCTCAAGTGGCCAAGGTTCCTGCTCATATGTCGCCACCTTTCAGTCACCACACAGGAAGCAGTTCCAGGCTGCTGAGAAGTTTAGTAAACTCTCCAAGAGCCAGGTCCCTTCTCCTACTGTGGCTGCTTTCCTTTTGTTCTTCTAAGCACACACAGGTGGCCCTACGTGCAGTATTAAAGAGGACAGATTCACTCCACAGCTGAGCTGTCTGTAGTGGACAAAACACTAGGAATCCATTTTCGACATCAAAGAGCATCTTTCCTCATAGATTTCCAAGAGTCGGGAGATCACAGGATTCTCTGAGGAAAATCTGGCAAAGATTCTCTGAGGTGCCTTGAAGTGAGGTTCGGGTTGGTTTGCGGCACTGCCTTCAGGAACATGAGTTGTGTGGACCGGACGGCGGGGGGGGGGGGGGGGGGGGGGGGGGGGGGCGACCACACACTTCCAAATGACCCTGGATCTTACAGGGCTCTACTGTCTTATCTTGCCCTGTCTTACAGGTTAGAAGCAGAATACCTTGAAGACACCTTAAGACTGACTGTACTACATTGACTGGGCCAGTGAGGTGGTTCAGCCGGTAAAGGCTCTTGCCAACAAGCCTGATGACCTGAGTTCAAGCCTCAGAACCCTCACAGTGGAAGGAGAGAACCCCCTCTGGCAACTTTCCCTCTGACCTTCACATGCTCACCGTGGCACACGTGCCCATATACACACACACAAATAAATAAATGTAATTAAACTGTCCTATATTAAGGCTGCTACAAGGAAGAGAGGGATGACCACTGGTCTCTCTTTTATGATATAACAATCCAGTTTTGCCCAGGATCTTAGAGATGCTATGCCAGGGTTTTATTACAGTCTTGATAGTAACATACTACAGGATGTCAACTTCATGCATTTTGTATTAGGGTAGCAGAGCCAGAACCTGAAATTGATTCAAAATGCTTATGGTACTCAATTACTTCTGAACATTGTTACACAATGCAGTGACTTATGTCTTCCATTTCACATGGGTCTGATGTGATGATGCAACATCACCATAATTGATTCATTTTCTCAATTAAATAAAGCTACTGTGCGTTTCTTTATAGGAGTGCCACACAGACCATGGAGTTAGATGTATTATCTCCTTGCCTTCTCTCAGATATATTGCCTTGAAGGCTATGTTCTGTTCCTCTGTTAATTCCACCAGAAAAATTTAATGCCACAGTCATATTTTTCAAGTTCTAAGCTGCCATGCGCACGATTGTATTTATATTAGGCATATTTTTCACTGCTAAACTCTTTGTTGTTTACCTTTTTCAAGATCATATTACTGTCTGGGCACAGTGACTATAAAACAGATCTGAACCAAGTCAACCTCCGGCCACCTCCTCTGCTTTTGTGCACAGTTCATGTAAAATCGAAGCCCCTTGTTTTATAACACAGTGAAAGCGGCGCTGACGCGGTGTAAAATGCCAGCTTCGTGGACACCTATCTTTATTCTGGGCCTGCCTTTCTAAAGGCCTGACTGTGAGAGCAGAGTTCAGAGGTGCACGGTCATGTTGTTAGCGTTGATGTACAGCCCGTGCCTGACAACATCTCCCACACTCTTTACAATCAGCCTGCCTAAGCCCACGCTCTGCTCGTACATTCTGTTTGTGCTGAGTGGTTTCTGTGGCTAACTAGGACTTTGGGACAACTAACAGAATGTAACTGTTCCAGATAAACACTTCACTCATCAAGCTCTGGAATTAGTGGTGTTTTGATAGATTAATGAGATGAACTTCCTTCCTCTTCTGGGTTTTTTTTTTCCTTTTGTCAATTGTCAGATCCAAGATTTAAAGCCCCACTAACAGGAGGGGAGGTAGGTCTCCTTCTGTTGAAGGTAGACCCTCTTATGTTTAAACAGGATGGATGGCTTGTTAGGAGGCAGCCACAAGTACTAGCCGGGCTTTGCTGACTGCATTAACATTTATTATATCTTTCTTTGCATGAACCTTACAGGTGGCAATTAGAAAGCCCCATAACATGACTCATGACCTTGGAAAGTGACCCTGGGAACAGGATTGTTAATGCAAAGACTCAGAGGTGAGGCCTCAACTATGGTGCTGGTGCTAAAAAACAATTTTGGGAGTTTCTCTCCCCTCTCTGCAAACAATGGCAAAACAGACCTTGCTAGCAGGTCTTTCCCATCTTCTTCAGAGGCATAATCAGAAAATCGGAGTGGATCCACTCTGGAGCCGAGGGAGGACACCAGCCAGGCCTTCATTCCCCTCTGAAATGATGACTTGCCCCGCGGCTCTTGTCGGAGAGATTTATGGGTGACCTAGGTCACATCTTCCAATATCAGTTGACAAATTTTCTCTTTACATATTTACTGCTTTTCAAGCTTGTGTTATTTTCTCTTAGATAGAAAAAAAGAAGTCTGAAATTACATGGTATGGTTGGAATTTTTAAAGAATAGCAGCTTCATTTTGTGTGACTTGAGCTATATTCCAGTCTTCAGTGTTAAACCGGTTTTTTTCTTTAATTTTAACCCAAATGTAAGGATCTGTAGACACTTTAAAGATACTCTGTTCAAATCTGACACATTAAGCTACAGCCTCAGCTAAATCTACAGTGATTATGGTGAATTGGGATTTTATATGCTACATGAAGAATTAAGACCTAAAGAATTCTTCAATGGAAAGGACCTCTGAGATGCTCAAGCTCAATCCACTTACTTTGCCTTTATGGATATTGAGGCTCAGAGAGGAACAATATTCAAGGTCCCAGATCAGTCTGGCCTGTCAGCTTGCTCGGGAGGCTACTACCCGGGAAAATGCATGAATCTGAGGACTAGAAAGATCCATGGAATTCCAGCCAGATACCCCTGGCCTCAAAATCCCCCTTCCTGCATTGGGGCTATGGACCATTGTCTGCACAGTTCAGGGTCCTGCATTGGGGCTATGGACCATTGTCTGCACAGTTCAGGGGCCTGCATTGGGGCTATGGACCATTGTCTGCACAGTTCAGGGCTGAAACAAGAGGATTCCAAAGCCTCTCTGAAGATGGTGTCCCCACTCAGGAGCTGGGCCTGTTTACTTCCATAAACTGTAACCTGTTGCCTTGTACCACCAAAAGCTTCCAAATGACTATTTACAAAAAGGAATAAATGAAATTTACTGGGCCTAACTATGAGTGGAGACGTCCATAATGTACTAATTTTCCTGAAGGTAATATAAGACAAAATAAAAGATAATATACATTGTTTCTAACATAAACTCAATAGCTTTGCTTGGCCCCTCTTCCCAGATCATCAGCCTTTATCCTTGTTCCAATTGTTACCACTCTCAGGAGTCTTACTGTATCTTGTACAGGGTCTAAAACAAATGTTAAGTCATAGAGGCGTTATCAGGAGGATCCCAATCAGGGCAGAATGTGCCTAAAATTCTACAGTCTAAGATC